TTCTATTCTATTCTATTCTATTCTATTCTATTCTATTCTATTCTATTCTATTCTATTCTAGTCATGTTTCAAACTGTTTCACGTGTTTAGTGTCAAGGTGCCTGCAGGCGTGTTTCATTATCCTTTCAGTTTATTCAAAGGGAACAAACAGCCACTGAGTAGTTTTGTGTTGTGTGCACCACACGTCACGTTCCTCTGACCACAGCTACCAACATTACTGAAAGTATAAGGTTCACGGGACTGTGGCCAACCTCCCAGGATGTGGACACAAGAGCAAATGCAACCCCAGGTTCAACAGGCAGCATGGATGGTCGAAAAAGAGCCAAGGAAACCATCTGAAACCATTCATCTCTATGAATAATTACGTATATCTTCAGTTTCCAGTTCGTAGCTCACAGGAATGGCACTTGGTGACAGTCTTCTGCTGCTGCAGCACATCTGCTTCAAGGATGGACATGTACATTCAGAGATGGTATTCTGCAGACCTTTGTGGGAATGAGTGGGTTATTGGAGCAACTGCTGCCTTTCTATCATATCAAGCAGGTCTGCCCATTGTTCTTCGAGATCAACAAGGCGTACTGGTCCACACAACGGCTGCTGACTGGGTGTTTCCTTTGGTTTGGACTATTCTCTGTAAACTCCAGAGATGGTTGAGCATGAAAGTCTCAGTAGATCTGCAGTTTCTGAAATACGATCAGACCAGATCATCACACACCAACAATCACACCAGATTCAAAGGCACTTAAATCCCCTTTCTGATGCCGTCCATCCATCATCTTTACCCGCTTCTTCCATTTCGGGTCGTGGGGGTCACTGGTACCCTTGTCCAGCAGTCGCTGTGCAAGAGGCGGGGGACACCATGGACAGGTCTCCAGTCCATCACAGGGACACAGAGACAAACAACCAACCCATATACAACACGGAGGTGGAGGTGGTGGAGAGCACCAGGTTCCTGGGGGTGCACATAACCAATCAGCTGTCTTGATCAAGAAACACTGGGTCCCTGTAAAGAAAGCCCAGCAGCGTCTGCACTTCCTGTACGCTGAAGAGAGCACACCTCCCACCCCGTCCTCACCACATCTACAGAGCAACCATCGAGATTATTATATATTATTATTGTTATTCTTGCTGAGAAGCGGCAGCTCTACCAAGTGCACCACTGATCAACATCTTCTGATGCTTGGCTTAAAATTCACCAAGTCATTTAAATCCCATCTACGTCCCTGAAGGCACAGTTGGTGCCATGAAGTGATCAGCTGATTAGTTTGTGTTAACAAGCAGTTGAACAGGTGTCGCTAACAAAGCAACATATGTTGGATAAATACATCAGAACTATTAAAATCAACTTGGGATTTTTTTTCATACTTATTACACAAACCATAGTAAAATAAAACCCAGGTATGACACAAATAACCACACACCACATGAATACTTGCACACAATATATGGTAAATTTAATTTTTGCCTTTTAAGTTGACCAAAAAACAAAACTTGGATTCTGTGTTGCAAAATGGCAGTCACTAAATACCATACAAAACCTACAAAAGTCAACAATTACAAACAGTTTGTTCAACATATAACAATCGTACAGTATAAATTTATACAATACTGTTTTGTTTTTATTTGGCACTTGATCACAAATCGCTAATTTGTGTTAAACAGAAATATTACACCTGACACGTTGTTTTATTGGAAAAAAATTCATCTGTATACAGATATAAAAACAATAAAAGCAACATACTGTGACAGTGTCATTGCAGTAGTTATGATTCTCTTGTTGGTCTGCATCTTTTCTAGAAATTAAACTAAAAAAAAAAGTATCTGAACGTTCAAATCTTTTATCGGGAAAAACAATGCGGTCAGTGAAACGGCTTTGCTGCTCGGTTACATTCACGAGGGCTTCAAGCTGATCCTTCTGGGAGTTTAGTTAAATATCCCCTGAACTGAGTGAAAGAGGGAGCTGAAAGAAGACAGAGCCAAGAGCATGAGGAGAACCCTCCAGATGCTTTCAGCGACATAACATCTGCTTGATCAACAGCATGTCCTTCAGCTGGCAGTTTGATATCTAGAAGCACTAAAAACACACATGCGTCATGTCACATGCATACATGTTATGTTGGTCTATTTGTCCATGTACCCAATAACTAATTCAACATGCAGCATTTAGAAAACAGTTCATAGTGAGTGTGAGACACTGTATCAGCTCTTCACATAACCTAATAAAATCAAATAAAAACCTTGGTTTACATGCTTGAGATAGCCCACGAAAGCTTAAATAAACATTTTCTAATATCATTTCACATCATTTTTGTCCCGTCCGAACATTCTGGACTACGTGGATTTGCTCAACAAGTTCAGGTGCACTTTAAAATATCTACACTGTACTCAAAGACCTGTGAAGACGACTGTTCTAATATATTGTAAGCTAGAGCACAGAAAGACTCACTGTATGACTGAAAATGAATCTAATAACCAGGAACAGATGATGGAAGGAGGGACGTTATTCATCCTTCATCACATTAGGGAGCAGATGCATAGTAGCATAACAACAGAGGCTTATTATGTTCCAGCACATAACAAAGTCTAACAAAAAAATAAAAAAGACATGTCACAGTAGAAAAGAAGAAACTAAAAGCAGAGCGGAGACCAAACTTCACAGGTCCTGTGCAGATGAAACGATCCCACCTACAGTGCGTACTGTTCCTCAACACCATCAGGTCTCTTCCTCTCACGGCCTCCGGCACAAATACAAGTGATCTGGCCTCAGTGTGGACCCGACTGGAACCTCAGAGTACAGAGAGCCAAGCAAAGACACGGACACAGAGACTCCAGTTTATACTGCATATATACAACCTACGCTCTAACAGGCCCAAAGGAGAACTGAGGAACCAGTTCCAGTCAGAGGGGGTTCTAGATCTGACCAGATTCATCTCTGCTGGAATTTGAAAGGTTTAAACACACAGCTTTGTTTGATTGTTCTGGAGCGGGGTGGGGTAGTGGTGGGAGGGAGAGGGAACTGAGAGATAATTAGGTTCCTGTGCCATCTTTACAAGTCCTCAGTACATACAGAAGACCTGGCTTCTTCATCATCTTCGTCATGTTAGTCATCATCAGTGTGCTCCACAGAGGAGAACCACAGGTAGAGTCACCAAAAGAAGCACTGTGGAAGGAAAAACAAGAACAGTGAGCTCAGCAAGGGAAGACACGTGCAATTCTGTCTGTAGGTTTAATTAAAATCAAACTGAATTCATGACATTTCTGCCAAAATAACTGCGTGACGTGAAACTGACGGCAACCTAAAGGATATCAATAACCGCGTTCAGATGAACTGCTTTGAATTTTGAAGACTGGAGCTGTTTTAACATCTCTTGAACGGCTCAAACAAGCCATCATTAGCTCATCACAGTCCAAGTGGACCCCCTTCCAGAGCAGATTTATGCCTTCTTAAAACAAGAACTATCAATGTAAGATATTAACTCTCTGTAACTTTTCTACAGAAAAACTGGGGAAATGTTAAAAATATTTAATGGTAGTACATTATCATGTGACTGTGCTGTGTTTTACTGCACTCTTTATTCATTTTGAACATTTGTCTTAATCCCTTCAAAGACTGGGTTTGTTGGTTCAGTCGAGGTTTACAGTGACTCCAGGTAAACCCTGCAGGTACAGAGACGCCTCTAGAGAGAGGTGGTGAAGGACAGTTAAGATTTTCATGCAAAAACACAAGGGAAATTCAAGTAAAGACGTAAAAGTGCATCAAAAGTGAAACATAACTACAAAAAGATTAGAAAAATGAAAATAAGAGACAAAGGGAAACACTGGAACTATCTACACTGGGAGTGTAAGAACATGACGTAGAGCAGGTGTGACCATTAGACAACTAGTATCTGGTGTGAGGGACAGGAGAAAAAACAAACTAATCATAAATGTAAGTTCATGGAAGTCATCACAAGACAACACAACAAACCCTAAAACCAGAACAAACCAAGAAAGAAGAGCCTCTTTCACACTAAAGGTGTTCTCCCAAAACATCTCAGTATCAGAATCAGAATAAACTTTATCATCACTGCACCGAGATACAACGAGAGCATGTACGTACAGTCGTCCGAAAGATGGACGGAGTGCACGAAGCTGCTACTATGGAAGCGCGGCCCTCTTATTCTTATTCAGAGTAATATTTTTGCTTAGATGAGAAAAGGGAAGAAAACATGAGAGACGGTATAAAAAAAAAGATCTCTCACGCCGTGTCCTAGACAGGGCACGATTTGAGGCATCAAAAAAAACTACCACAGCAAAACAACATAAATAGACGTTGTACATGAACATATAGGCGGTGAAGACATTGGATTTTTAAAGGAAATTCATAGCATAGTCCAGGTTCACAAGACAAAAGAGAGCAAGCAGGGAAGCATGGGGATGGAGCAGAAGAGGGCACATCTGTCTTCACCAGAGCACAGAGAGAAAAACTTAAGACTCCTTCTCACCACCTCGGTGTGACATGTCAATGGGATGAGGTGGCAAACTGGGTTGAAGCCAACCCACTCCAGATAGAACAGTATGGCTGCAAAGACGAGCCTTTAGTTGGGCATAAATAACAAATTCAGCCAAGTCCTGCGTACGTGTGTGCTACACATATGAAGCTAGCATCACAGACCAGAGCATGCATTTTGTTCCACTTCTCACAAACACGCCAACTTGGCTCTGTGACTACCTCTCATTCTAGCACAAAGAATGGTAAATGGACTATACTTATAAAGTGACTTTTTTATCAAGATGCTCAAAGCTCTTCACAACACAACCTGTGTCCTCATTTACCCATCAACACAGCATGCTACTAGATCAAAAACAAAGATCATCTGAATCAGTAGAGACTGATCAGTGCTTTAAATCACATTCAAACACCGATGGGACACACATCAGAGACAGTGAGGGGTTCAGTGTCTTGCCCAGGGACACTTCAGCATTTGACTGTTGGTGGAATTGAACCCCCAACTCTCCCATTGGAGGACAACTGCTCTAACCACTCCGCCACAGCTTCTCCCAATGATTTGTCCCCAAACTCCTATATCAGTCTAAAATATTGGTCCTACAGAGATGTATTGGTCAGGCTCTGACTCTCGTGTACACAACACTCGTTAACCAGGATCGAACAGCACTGTGCTGCTAACAGCATAGACATAAATACGTAGACTCCTCGTTGAGTGGGCTGGCCCGCTGCAGCTGTACGTCGATGCCATTTTAAATGTGGCAGAACTGCCGGTCATTTAATACAAAGAAATGGACTGAACTTCATAAAGCATAGTTCTACAAAGTGTTTTAATTTGATGTCTGTCATTCACAAGCACTAATATATTTGGAAAACAAACATGCACCAAAGACAACGTTTGGAAAGTTACAATCTTGTTAAAGCTCCACAGATGAATGCATTTTCTGAATAGTAAACTAGTGGCTACAGTTGGACTGGATCAACTTTTTTAATATTGTTTTTTTTTTTGTTTGTTTTTAAGTTTGTCACCAAGAACCAAAAAATAGAAGCAATAAACACCACCTGTCTTAATGCTGGGAGTGATGACATGGTTTTAAAATCAATTATTGGGAGGAGCAAAAACAAAGTTTGCACCCCCCACTTTAGAAAATGTGGGAGCAGCTCCTCCACCTCCTCCATCAGCCAGGTGCCCATGCTTGCGTGGAGAGCAAGGTGTGGGGAACTCAGCAAAGGGAACAATCTGATCTTGTGTCTCCACCTTCGCCTCACATCAAAGTTTGATCGCCTCGCCTCAGATGAACGTGTTTCCTGTGTGAGCTCAGCACCAGCCTGTTCTGTCTGAAATAAAAGTGCAACAGACGCTTCCTCTCAGCACGTCGCTGCAAAGGCTGCAGGAGGACTGGGTGATGTGACTGTGCTGATCCTTAGACTTGAGTCTTTTCTTTTTGGATAAATCCTATAGTTAGGGGTGGCTTGGGTTTCCTGAGCTGTCCCTTAGTTATGCTGCTATAGTCTTAAGACTGCTGGAGGACAAACTGACCACACTTCCTCACTCTGCTGCTGTCTTTACTTGCTCTACTCAACCTGCTTGTATTTGTAATTATTTCTATCTTAACGTTTTTTCTTCTCTCTTCCTATAGACAGTCACCTGGACTGTGTCATTCTGTGTTTGTTTCTACTTCCTGTTCTTCTCAAACCCAGCCGGTCGAAGCAGACGGTCGCTCGTCCTGAGCCTGGTTCTGCTGGAAGTTTCTTCCTGTTAAAAGAGAGTTTTTCCTTTCCACGGTCTCCTTTGTGCTTGTTCAGGATGGGAGACTGTGACTAAGCGAAGATGCAATGCAACGAGTCTGCTGCTTCTTTAGATACAGAACTTCTAATGTTTTTTTATTTTTATTTTTACATTTATGTCTACAGCTGTTTCCTTTCTAGGATTTTTTTCTTACTTCTAACCTACAAAGCTCTCAACAACCTAGCTCCATCTTATATTACATATCTTATTGTTCCATATTTTCCTAACAGAGCACTTCACTCTCAGACTGCAGGTTTACTTGTGGTTCCTAGAAATTACAAAAACAGAATGGGAGGCAGATCTTTCAGTTATCAGGCTCCTCTCTTGTGGAACCAACTTCCAATCTCTGTCCGTGAGGCTGACACATTGTCCAGATTTAAAACTAGGCTTAAGACTTTCCTCTTTCATAAATCCTATAGTTAGGGTTGGCTTGGGTTTCCTGAGCTGTCCCTTAGTTATGCTGCTATAGGCTTAGACTGCTGGAGGACAAACTGACCACAATTTTCACTCTGCTACTGTCTTTACTTACTCTGCTCAACCTGTTTTGTATTTGCAATTATTTTTTCTTTTCTTAACATGTGTTTTTGTCTTTCAGAAACACCTGGACCTATACCTGGACCTACCATTCTGTGTTTGTCTGTCTCTCCTTCCTGTCCTCTCAACCAGCCGGTCAAAGCAGATGGCCGCTTGTCCTGAGCCTGGTTCTGCTGGAGGTTTCTTCCTTTAAAAAAGGGAGTTTTCCTTTCCACTGTCTCCACTGTGCTTGCTCAGGATGGGAGACTGCAACGAAGCCCAGATTCATCTTGTCTGCTGGATTCCTTAGATAGAGAACTTTACTAATTGGCTTTTATGTGAATGTTCCTGTAAAGTGCCCTGAGACAACTTTGTTGTGATTTGGTGCTTTATAAATAAACTGAATTGAATTAAATTTAGTGAAGCTGATGCATTTTGGGGATCAGAAACCAGTGTTGTAATGTAACAAAGTAGAAATACTTTGTTACTGTACTTAAGTAGAGTTTTGATATATTTTTACTTTACTTCGTTATTTACATTTCTAGCGATTCTCACTTTTACTTCAATACATTTCCCTTAACCATCTTAGTTACTGGTTACTACAATTTAAAATGAGAAGATCTCTGATTAGGCAATGCCTGTTTGTTCTCCCAGTCTGTGACTTCATGAGGCCACTTCTCTCTCCCTCACTGACACTCACAAACCCAGCCTCTCCCCCACCGCTTGTGTGAAAACTGCGGTTCCTGTTGTTGTCACTTGGTGCTACATAAATTAGCTGAACTGAATTTAAATTTAAATTCAGCCTGAACTCATTAAAAGAGGAGCCGCAGTCTCAACGTGGGTGACTGATTGTCTTCAATAAATTGTTTTATAACCCTACTGCTGTAAAAGTATTTGGAAATAGATAAGAGCCTCAATAACATTGGTTAACATTCAGTCAAACTTCAGAAACATAATGTAACATAATACTACCATTATGTGTTGAATGGAGTAACTTGTAACGACATTTGCTAATAAACCTTGTTAAATAAATTAAAATGTGTCTTTTTTAATGTCTAAAGTCACAAATTGAATCCCAGAGTAACAACTGGAGTCTTCTAATCATTAAAGATACCTAATGTCAGGAGAATTTAGGTAAAGGTCACGGATGTTCTCACTTACTAATGTTAAATGAATGTAGAACCATGTGTGTGAGTTTGAATTGTTTGTCTGAACAGAGAGGAGCCTGCACACCTGATAAACTCCAAGGCCTCTGTCTGACAAGCTTCTTTCTCCTGTCTGTGGCAGACGACCAGAGCTACATGTAACATCTGTGTGAACCTGTTTTCAACTCTGAACTGGGTTGAGACCTTCTCGTATCCTCAGTGTGGCTCGTTTGATTAATGAGATGATGAAAGGGTAAATTTATCCAACACCTAAACTTCACGGCAGACAAAGAAAAAGACGAGTTACCAACAAGAAAAACTTGACGAACTTATTTGTCTGCTAAAGTGAGAAACGCTGGACGGACAGGTTGTTGTGGGATGAGGGCTTCCTTTAACCATCAGTGATGAAGAGGAGGCTACACTGACAGGTCAGACTGCTGATTGTGTTTTCAACACTTATTACTTTGTCATAAATATTATGAACATGAAGTCTCAAAGCGAGAGCTCCTCATGCTGAACATCTCCCGTCTCCTCTGGATTCATTCCCTCCAGCAGAAGCTTCTCTGCCTGCGAGGCGCAGCCCTGCGTTCGTGGGAGAACCTGTTTGTTTGTGAACTGAACCTCGGCGCTCCTCTGCTCCATCAGGACGGCTGCACTTCATCAAAAGAAACCTTGTAGGAGTTGGTGAACGTGGGACTTACAGAATGTGGAGATGCCTCAGGTTCAGAACTGGCCAGCGCTGCTGGGGTCGCACTGCAGCAGGCGGACGATGGAGGGGTCGCTCTTTGCTCCTTTGATGAACTCCTCCAGAGATAGCTTACCTGAGCAGAACACAAGCCAGGCACACAATGAGGACATGTGCAGACCTTCTTGTATTTTAGCTGAACACGTGGCTGTGGGGGAGTGAGGCTGCAGGAGCTAAAGGAACGTAGAATGAAAAGTTGTTATCATAAAACAGTATAAAGTAACTACAGAGAAGTCATGCTGTAAGGAGCAAATAACACCCCCCCCCCCCCAAATAAACCAAGTAATTATCTGACTTTTCACTAGCAGACTTTTAACTCAGTGGTTCCTAAACTGTGGGGCACAATCACTTCTAATTATTTGGGTCGTGTTTAGACGTTGTTGCAACTCCAGCTTGTTTACGTTTCCATGGTGATGAGACGGACAGCCGGCAGGCTGCACGTATGGAGCGTACGTCCACTCCTTCCCACTGAGCTGGAAACAACCCGTTAAAAGTGATGACAAACAAAGAGTTTACTTCCTGTTACTGGAGGAAACGTGTGCCAGCTGGAGGGGCCAAACGCTCAAAGGAATAATGTCAGAGGTGGACAGCGCTGAGCAGGACGCCCGGCTCTGGGCGAGCAGAGACAGAGTGAAGAAGTGGCGTTCAAACTCTGCTCGCAGCCTGTGTGTTGCTGTGGACTCACTGAGAACTGCACCAAAGCTGCTTCGTGTCAAAGACAACAGAAACTGGAGGACATCCTGCTGTTAGACGGCCAGCAAAGGGTTACCACGACAACGACCTGTTTGTGTCTGAAAACTGCCAGACACGCTGAAGTTCAACAAGTCAAGACACTACGCTTAAAGGATTTACTCTAATGATCCTTTTAATTCAAACTAAAAATGCATGTAACACACAACTATTTTAGCTGTGACACCCCCCCACACACCACCACCACCCACATATTAAACAGTAATTATGAATCACTGGTTTTTCACTAACGTTTATTTTAATCCTCTGGCCTGTAAACATGTTGCTTTGAAATTGTTATAAGCCACACGGTAAAGGTTTGCACGTGATCCTGTCCAGGTTCGTGAACCTGCCTGGTGAAACTAAAACATTAAACCTTAAACCTATTTTCTTGACATTTGCATAACTGGAGTAGTTGTTAGTTAGACAGTTAAAATACAGAAATAAATGATTTATTTGGTGGATTTGCACCAAGCCACATCTGTGACACCCAATATATTTATTGCTGCTGCTGTTTCATGCATGCACCTTACATCATCGTTCATCTCAGTGTTACTCACTACCTGCACCTCACACAACCTGTGTACTTTATGATAGTTATGTGCAATATCATGTGCATTGAAGCTTATATTACTATCTGGGAAATACTTATTCGTACAAATTCATCCTATTTGCACCGTTATATTCAACCATGTTTTTGTTCACTATATTTATTTTTCACTTTTTGGTACTTTATTTTGTACCCTTATTGCATGCTTTAGTATTTCCTGTTTGTTTTTGTTGTTGTTTTTTTTTCTTAGTGAGTCAAATTGGTTGTTATCCTGAACATTTCATTGTTTTTCAACCTGCTTATGACAAATAAACAACACAACAATGCGTTGATTCATGTCAAAGCTCTGCCAGCAGGTGGCAGTGTTTGAATCTACTCCTCTTTCTTAAGACCGTCCTGACTTTAGGCACAGCTCACTCTGTTCTCATTGGAACAAAATTGAAAAAATAAAAACAAATAAATAAATTAAAAAAAAGAAACCAGGTTGAGTATTTTAAAATAAAATTTTGTTTAAATATTTTGCTTGAATTTGTCTTTTTGTCATACGTTTGCGTTTCATAATCCTGTACAACAACTTCAATGCAGAAATGCTGTCGTTCAAGCAGAATGTGTGTTGGTGTTGTCTTGATAGAAAACTTCTCTAAAACACTCGTCAGCTTTGTTCTGTACTCAGTCATTCATTCCCAGAAGAAAACCTTTTGTTGTTTGTTAGGTTACATAACAGTCATCATTCAGTTAAACAAAGAACGAGTTGATATGTCTACGTTTAACAAATGAAATGAAAAGTTTGAGTCAGGTCATCTAATGATGAGAAATTAGTTGTAGCTGTTTGGGATAAACCTTGAGATGTGATACCGTGACATGGTACACTCAGTGTATACAGTATGTTCTGAAGGACTTCCAGCTACTACCAC